TGAGTGAAATATATATATCATTTTTGATTATTAATTTGACAATAAAAAAATTAGGTAAATGACAAAAATTAAAATAAGTATTCCATGTAATCCATTTTAACTTGTTTAGTTGCAAAAAAAAAATATGAATGGTTTTTTTCCTACAACATGTTAATTTTGATATGAACAATTAATTTATCGAAATTATGGTTCAAAATTTTAAGTGTATACTTTAGTTTTGTTTAGACGTACGCTATATAGTGAATTAGATGTTCACATAAGAAAACAAAAACATGTTGTCGAAACAAAGATACATGTCATATTGATGTTTTATAGAAACCATTTAGTACTATTGATTATTTGATATAAAGTTCCATGACAAATTTTGTAACTAAACTAGAAAACAAAATTTTGTTTGATATTTGTTTTCTCTGACTTTTCAAGCAAAAAGATATTTATGTCAAATTCTCTGCATCGTTGATTTATGTCAAATTCTCTGCATCGTTGATTTCCAAGTTCCCAAGTATTTAGAACATTGCCAAAAACTTACAAGATCATTGACACGAGTTTCTTGTAGATAGATAGATAGATAGATAAACAAAGATGATGATGTCTTCACCGAAAGGTCTTACACAAATGCATGCTTCAGCATACCTCCCTCATGACTTACATATCCACTTTCAAAAGGCAACACCGCAAAAAAAAATTGTTATACGAGTTCATATGACACATTAAAAAAAAAAAAAATGGATCACGATTTAAAATACTTTTATCTGAGTTGTTAATTTAACAGATTAATATGAAAAGATCAAAGCTAAGTTAAACTAATCATGTAGAGACTTCTGTTTTGTGAAAATGCATTCTCTATCCATATTTGTATGGATTGAAGTATTGTTTGGGACGAATTTACCAAACAAGTCAACTGGAATGAATGTTTTCTATTTTTCGTGAATCAGTTTTTGTAGATTTTACGAAACTTTAAAAGTGGTTTGGCATGAGGACTGTTATACTTTCATATCATTTTTAATGCTCAAACGGGTTTCGCTTGGAATATCTTGCATGATGGAGTCTGACGAACAAACATGTAATGGATATGAGAACCATGTTACTAGCTAGCATTTGAGTAAAAGTTCAATATATCTCCTAAAAAGTTTTAGGAGAAGCAAACATGACACTTTGCATATATATACTCCAATTTTTTCCAATTTCTATGAATGAAGGATGTATAATAGTATATATCAAGATAAAATGAAAGTTTATTAAGTGGATATAATGGAAGTATAACCTCGTATAATTTAGTTGTCATAGAAATGGACAAGATTTTAAGAAAATCTATATGTAACTCTCAAAGTCGCAAACCAAACAATACTAGAAGAGAGTAGAGAAAGGATGTCGACGTGCAATATAGAGGACCCCACAAAACACACAAAAAAAATCCACGTAAGCAAAAATGATAGCAATAAGAGATATCGACCCATCACTTCCCAAATCACAAGTCTCAAGTGGTGGTCTCTCTCTCTCTCTATAAAATCTCACAAATAAATAAACAAATCTCAAAAAAATCCCAACTTTGAGAGAGGAGAAGAAGAAGAAGCAAGACACCAAAAACTTAGTCTGACATCAAAACCCAAAATCCAAGAAGAAAGAGAGAGTCTTCACTTCACGCTCACACTTGCTTTGGCTCTGGCGTTGTAAACAATGCTCCTCCCTCTCTTCTTCTTCTTCTTCTTCCTCCTCCATCTCCATCTTTCTTCTTCCTCAATCTCCTTCCCTGATTTTCAAAGCATCGACGTTTTACAACCTCCTCTCACCGTCACTGAAACTCTTCCCGATTTCAACAACACCCATTTCTCCGATGATTCCAATTCTAAATACACTCTTCGTCTTCTCCACCGCGACAGATTCCCTTCCGTCACTTACCGTAACCACCACCACCGTCTCCATGCTCGTATGCGCAGAGATACAGACAGAGTCTCCGCCATTCTCCGCCGCATTTCTGGGAAAGTTGTTGTAGCTTCTTCCGATTCTAGATACGAGGTTAACGATTTTGGGTCCGATGTTGTTTCCGGTATGGATCAAGGAAGTGGTGAGTATTTCGTCAGAATCGGCGTCGGAAGTCCTCCGAGAGATCAGTACATGGTCATTGATTCCGGTAGTGATATGGTTTGGGTTCAGTGCCAGCCTTGTAAGCTCTGTTACAAACAATCCGACCCGGTTTTTGACCCGGCTAAATCCGGGTCTTACACTGGAGTCTCTTGTGGCTCTTCCGTATGTGACCGGATTGAAAACTCCGGCTGTCACTCCGGTGGATGCCGTTACGAGGTCATGTACGGAGACGGTTCTTACACGAAAGGGACGTTAGCTCTCGAAACGCTGACGTTTGCTAAGACGGTGGTTAGAAACGTTGCGATGGGATGTGGTCACCGGAACAGAGGAATGTTTATCGGAGCTGCTGGGTTATTGGGTATTGGAGGCGGTTCAATGTCTTTTGTGGGTCAATTGAGCGGTCAAACCGGTGGTGCGTTCGGTTATTGTTTAGTGAGTCGAGGCACAGACTCGACCGGCTCATTGGTATTCGGGCGGGAAGCTTTGCCCGTTGGTGCCTCGTGGGTACCGTTGGTCCGGAACCCACGGGCTCCGAGTTTTTACTATGTTGGGCTCAAGGGCCTCGGGGTCGGAGGCGTCCGGATTCCTTTACCGGATGGTGTCTTTGACCTGACGGAAACCGGTGACGGCGGTGTGGTTATGGATACCGGAACCGCCGTCACAAGGCTTCCTACGGGGGCTTATGCCGCATTTCGAGATGGATTCAAGTCGCAGACTGCGAATTTGCCGCGGGCTTCCGGTGTATCGATATTCGACACGTGTTATGATCTGTCAGGGTTTGTCTCGGTACGAGTCCCGACCGTGTCGTTCTATTTCACGGAAGGTCCTGTTTTGACATTACCGGCGAGGAATTTTCTGATGCCGGTGGATGATTCGGGGACATATTGTTTTGCGTTTGCGGCGTCTCCGACGGGTTTGTCGATAATAGGGAACATACAACAAGAAGGGATTCAAGTATCTTTCGACGGAGCCAATGGCTTTGTTGGTTTTGGCCCCAACGTTTGCTAGCGGTTAAAATAGAGAGAAATTACGATTTTTGTTTGCTAGTAAGTAAAAAACTTTTGTCTCAAAACTATATGTATTTGTCTTTGTTTTCTTTTATTAGTTTGGTTTGAGTTTTAATAAATCTGATTAGTATAGAGAGATTACAAAAATGTATATGTTTTGACCAAATTTGCCTTTTAATTTCTGATTGGTTTGGAATCTATTATTTTGTTTCACTGTTTGATTTGTGGTATAAAATGCAGTGAAACACCTTTTAGAGCACCAAGTCAAAAAGTACTAACACAGGAAAAGGTTAAAAATATTGGCAACACTTTGTGGTGAAGCGTGAGGACATTGGGGAGTGAACCTTTTCTATTTTACCGATGTTCACATTAACAGTAACTAAAGTTTTACTAATTACTTAATTAGCAGCACATGCTCCGAGGTTTTTCCAAGCTTAGAAATGGCCATTTGACTGAAGTTATGAATTTCTTTTAGGGACATTTACAAGTAAAAAATTCCACACCTAAATTGATAGGAAAAGTTCCATAACGCTTTCAAATTTTGCAAGAGTGTGATTTTTTACATAAGCTGATTAGTATGTTCTAACCCAAAAAAGTTTGTGATGGATGGAAGAAGCAGGCCTGCCTTATGGGCACATTATCTCGTGCCAGTCTTTAAGCTTTGTACATATTGAGTACCTGAGCGAGAAAGACCCACAAAAGCTGGAAATTTTATGATTGAAAAAGTGATATGAATGAATCATTTAAAGCAAACTTAATAATCTCTTGTCACAATCGTGAATCACTTGGGCTAACACCTCTTCAATTCATCACTTCCCGTGATACTTTTTCAATTTTTCCAAGTCCCGTTTTCACTTTTTGTGTCAAAATATTGAGATATCCTGAAGTGGGTTTCATGATAACTACAACAGACTCGAAACCAAGGACCCAAATTTAGTTGAATCATGGATGAAAAAGCCCAGAATTGTACCTTTTAACATTGTCAGAAAAATTTCCCTTTTCCTTTTTTTTTTCTTTTCTTTATGGTATTTACTTAGCCGTTGCATACCTTGAAAACATAACAAACACAGTCAATTCTTTTCACACTGTAACTTGATAAAAAAAAACAAGAGATCAAAATTAGCAGAGCACTAACCGACGAGAAGCACGTGCATTCATATACCAATGAATCAATTATCAACCTCTAGTGAAAAATTAAACCAACCTCTGGTGAAAAATGGAAAAATGAGAAATGACTAAAGGGCAAAAGAAAAGAGAAAGAAAGTCATACATAAAAAAAAAGGGGTCCCATTGTCTTCTATGTTGTCCCCTTCATAGGGCATTTAATCAACAAAAAAGTTCAACCACTGTATAATTCTAATGATTCATCATCTTGAATCCCAAAGCTATTTCTTACACACAACCAAACTTTCACTTTCTTTGCAGTTTCCACTCATCTTTTCTTATTTGTGTATGTATCCCTATATCTATAACCTGGTTTCTCACTAATCAGTCACATTGGTTTCGTCCCTAATCTCCCACCTATTCATTTGTTCTAAACCGTCGACCTATGAGTGTATCTACCTCTTCAAGAAAAAAAAGGAGTTCAGCATATTTTTCAACTTATATACCTTCCTCTAAACAGCTAGGTGTATCTATCCTAATCCGTAAAACCATACCTAGGCCCAGTCCATTTCTCCAATCATCGGCTTCAAACAATGCACCATGAAGGAACAAGCTATGTACATACAGTGGATCTCTCACCTAATCCACATTGCTGGAAGAAGTTAGATCAATACAAAGATTGACCAAATTGTATGCTGGCCACAGTAACTAATGTTTCCAGAACATACATGAGCCTACAAGCGGTAGACAATGCGTGGAATGGCATGATATAAGAGAGACATGGAGATACACAACAAACTCTCATGACAAATAGAAAAGGTTGAAACTTTTAAGCCATAGATCCTTTACATTTAAGGTCAAACTCCTACGTGGTATATATACCAACCATGAACCGATTTTAGTTATTTACATATGGCCTGTTTCCAATCAATGCACACAAAAATGCATAGACTGGGTTCAAACCTCACAAAACCAAAACACGAAATCCTAGGATAGCCACAGTATTGGAAATTCATTACAAAAGCAGCTAGAGGTTTCTTCCTCATCAAAATTCTGGGCTTAATCTCCCATATATACTGTACTAAGCAACCTAGTTCAAGAGGCGATTAGAAGGCTACGCGTAGACCAGAAAACGAGTAGTCTACAACATAAACAGATATTTGAGATCGTCTACTGTTAGACGTGTTGCAGAGCTTCCACCATGTTCTTCACCAAAGGCAGATGCAACCATTGTCCTTTTATCTTCCTGATAAAAAAAAATGGTAAATGATCTGTTAGGTTGGACAAAATTCACAAGCCTTCATAGTCCACCACAAAAACTCTATTTAATAATAAAATTACTGTAAAGATAAATCTGAAAAGAAAACCAAGGGAACCCAAAACCCAGACACAATGAGCAGGTAGAGTTTAGAGAATACCTGAAGCGTCAAAATTCTATCCTCAACGGTGTCTTTTATAGTAATGCGAGTTACAGTAACTGGCCGAGTTTGTCCAATACGATGTGCACGATCAATCGCCTGATCTTCGGTAGTTGGATTCCACCAAAGATCCAAGAGAATAACATGACATGCAGCTACCATATTCAGCCCAAGGTTTCCAGCTTTTAGAGACATCAGCATCACCTTTACCTGTTAATAAACTTTGCGCTTTTAGAGAGCTTCAGGATCAATACTCCATGAACATTCCATGTTTCAGAGAAACAAATAGTACATTGTTTTAGAAAACATATCTAAGATATTCACATCACTTACATCTGGATTTTTACTGAATTCTTTTACCGCCCTGTCTCTTGCTGCTAGACTCATTGTGCCATCTAATCTTCTGAATTCAATACCACTTTCAAGAATACGCAGCTCAACCAAGTCAAGCATACCAGTCCACTGAGAAAATATTATCGTTTTTACTGCCCCCTGGCTAGGTGAAGATGAGTGAAGACGCATTGGCTCTACAATGGTAACATCATCGTCATCATACGGCCCTGAGGAAGATGGCATTTGACCATGCTGAGCTGAGTTTGGAGTGTCTTGTTTGGAAAGCGACTGCAGGATATCGAGGACAGCTTTGATTTTTGATGAACAAAACTCCCTTTTTTCAAAAACCGATCTATCAAGACCTTTATCATGCGAGGAACTACAGCCCAAATCATCAGAAATGCAATTTCTAAGCGAAGATTCAGAGAAAACAACATCACGCGCAAGCTGTTGTTTGCATCTGGGTACAGGGCACATGTTCTCATCCCCAGTTATGTATTCTAAAACACATTCATAGCAAAATACATGGCCACACAACGTAACAACAGGTTTTTCTGGTGGCTCCTGCGAATAAATATGAAGAAAAAAAATTAAAAGTAAAGATAGTCAGGACAAGATCTAAGAACTAGAGAATAGTGAGCCTGAGGAAATGCTATTTCTAGGTCTCATTTACTCTGCACTTACATTGCACTCATAGCAGATGGCAGATGATGACTCTAAGCGATTGATCAGTCTGCTTCGAGCCTCCCTAGGGAGTCTTCTAACTGCTGCTTCTGATTCTTTTCCAACGGGATCTGAGTTATATACTTTAACAAGTTGTGGGTGGTCACAAGCTTGGCGGAGTCGCAAAAGCATCAGAAGAATATTTGCGTAGTTTTGACTCAAAGTTCCCGCATCAGCATAGGCCTGCAGAGAAAATGAATTTATCATCCTATTGGGTACAGCTACTAGTTTGTGTTCTCTCACAGGAAGAAATAAAGACTAGCAAGAAACTCAGAAACATGGATCTCCAATAAAATTGCTGCATAACTACATGGTCACATTTATTAAGCATTTTGTTGCTATAAAGGTATCTTCTTTACCAAAAAAGTGCACATCAATTGTAAACCAAGTATGAACAGATACTTTGTGGAGGAAAAAATAGGAGAACCTTGAACTGTGAACGTGAATCCGCTTCAAGCTTCCTGTAGAAAGAGCGCTCTTCCACTGAAAAATCTACCGTGCTCAAATTAACTTTTTTTGGAGGTAGATTAATAATGGGTTTCCCATCAAGCAATGTTCCTAGATAGCAGAACAGTAGATATTTAGCACAAACCATCAAGTGCAGCACAACTACGTACGAACATAATAATAGGAGCAAAGTAAAAATCTACCATCAAACAGAAAAAGATCAAAATAAAAATGAACAGGAAAAATGTACAGAAGAGAAGACAAAATTGGTATTTCATTAACCATATGACCGGAGGACTAACTCAGGTGGCAGGTTCAATAAACTAACAGGTACTCTCATTATTGAGTACATTATAGATAAGCCGATAAAATCAGAAAGTGTCAAGATAACATAGATAATATTAATAGTAATCAGATTGCGAAGTCCTGGCGACATAAACAACTCAACCAATCATCAAAGAGAAGAAAGAGATGATCAGAGTACCTTTGGTGCGGCGCAGCATTATAGCCCTTAGAACAGCTTGAAGCTTCTTGTAACCTTGACAAGAATTTCTGGAAATTGGAACCTTGATTGTACTGTAAAATGACTTGTACGCCGCATATGGATCATATCTAAGAAACCTGAAATAGCTATATAAATCATCAATCGTATTTTGTATTGGTGTTCCAGACAAGCACCACCTCCTTTTGGCTCGAAGAGTGGAACAGGATCTTGCCACTTGTGTTCTATGGTTCTTTATTGTCTGAGCTTCATCTAGTACTATTCTGAACCACCCAACTTTTCCTAGAGCACCACAATCGGGCTCAGAAGAAGAATTATCAGTGCTTTTTCTACTTCTTTTTTTACTCTTCTTACTGGCACCCACCGCGACTTTCCGCTTCTTATTGTTGGAGAAGCCAGAGGCAAGACCATATTCGTCAGTACTTTTTTCATCGTTCTCATCCTCATCCACCAAGAATTTTTTGGGAGCTTCATTAGTAACAATAGCGTAAGTTGTCACAACCACATCGTATTCTGCTAATTCATTAGGATCTTTGGTCCTATTACTACCATGGTAGACTAACACAGAAAGTTTCCATTCTTCAGAAACCTTCTCATCAAGCTCTCTTGCCCACTGCCGTACAACACTCGCTGGGCAAACAATTAATGTACCAGCAGCTGGTCTCTTCCACTTAAATGCTCGTGTTGAAGAATTTGCTTCTTCATCTTTGGCTTTCTCCATATCTGAACTGTCATTCTCATCATTACCACTAGCACTCAGAACCGAGGTCTCACTGTTGCTTGAAACCTTGAGCTCTGGTTTTACATGACTACCATTTTCATGCTTTGCATTGTCTGACTCATCATCAGCATCCAGGACTAATGCCTCAGTTTCTTGCTTGCATGAATTTGCGGACTTCAGTTGTGACACAATCTTTTGCTTTAGGATAAGAGCAATCGTCGAGACCGTCTTACCAAGTCCCTGCAGAGTAGACGTTACATAGTTTGATGTAAATATCCAAGCAGCAGACTAACAGTATCACAGATATTTATTAGTCAAGAAATTAATCAAATGTGACCTGATCATCTGCTAGTATTCCTCCCGCACAGTTAAAACTTCTTGTTTCCTTCTGAAACATCCATGCCAATGCAATTTTCTGAAAACAAGTAGTATTTAATACACAAACCAATACTAACGGCCAATAAATGGAAATTTAAAACATGCTAATACCTGATGCCTCATAAGAGGAACTGAAAGAACACCAGGAGGTAGATCGCTTTCGGTAATGGGTTGATTCAAATCCTGCAGGATTAAAGTACTTGATTATCAAAACTGCACTTACCACACCGCTTCAAATCAGGTAGATTATGGAACAACACCGAGCTCTCAACACCTTTATAATGTACCAGAGTAAAATCGGAAAATAAATGCTACATCTATTGTCAATGATCCAAATTATCATTGTTTCTCATACATGAAGAAAACGAATGCATTATTAATTTAAGTTAGTCAGTATAAAATTGAGTTGATCCAGCATGGTAGTATGACCCAAGCATCAATGAGACATGCAAACGATTATAAAACGTTTAATGCACCATGGATCTTAAAAAAAAAATTAACCAAAAGAAAATGAGCCAGATTTAGAGTCAATTATTGCTCCATATTAACTACGACAATCATATTAAGAGATTCAAAAGAGCCCGCAAAATGTAAAGCTGGTACAAGGGGCAACGATAACTAGACATGCAAGCACAAAAGAAGAGCTACGTGTTGAAGTCCACTAATAAGAAAAAGGGTTGGGTTGAGGATGAATACCTGTAGTGCAGCCTGATAAACCAACCTCTCATCGTTATCAGGATTCCTATCTTCACCAGTACCAAGCCTGTGCATTGGATCACTTGAACCAGCATGATGCAAAACAGAAGCAGATGTTCCATGCGTCAGAGATGGAGGCAGGATCCTAACCCCATTCATGCCACGTTGAATTCCTATCTCAGCATGGGCTCCACTATAATGATCACCAAAGGTACTCTTGTTGCCTACAGCTGACACAGCTGGACGACTATAATCCGCACCAAAGCGACTCCCACTGGCATTACTTATATTGTTAGTGCCACTTCTGGAAGGAAGGGGAGGGGGATTAAAAGAGGGCGGAAGAGTTCTTTTCGGAGCTTGCTGAGACGACAGTCTCTCATGATCCGCACCAACGCGACTCCCACTAGCATTACTTATATTGTTAGCGCCACTTCTGGAAGGAAAGGGAGGCGAACTAAAGGAGGGTGGAAGAGTTCTTTTCGGAGCTTGCTCAGACGACAGTCTCTCATAATCAGCACCAGATCCACTGGAAATTCTCGAGTTTACAGTGTTCCCATTCCCTGTAAAAGGCTTAGAGACTCCAGGCCGAGAAGTATCATTCGAGGCACTATTGCGAGAAGCCTGATTTGTATGTTCAGCTCTAGCATGGCTATCCACTGTAGGCACAATCTCTCGAGGAAAAATTCTCCTGCCTGCAAGGAAAAATACACAGCATCAAAGTCGATCACTCCATAAAGCTACCAAAATTAACCTGACCAGAAAGACAGAAATTGACAAAGATATGTCAAAAACTATACCTAGCCATATGGGATCCGTCCTGGTTCGAATTTGTGGCCTAATGGGCTGTGGTAGTTCGTCATCACTATCACTACCTGAACTAATTTCAATAGCAGAATCCATCAAAATATCTCCGTCAACGTCAGTCTCCTGAGAAGAATCAGCAATAGGTCTTTTAAGAAACCGAATCAGCCTGCGAAGCAAAAGATTGGTGTTATTCTCCAAATGAAACCACTACAAAGCCACCATTTGAACTAACATTCGAAAACAAAGCATCCTAAGCAACAACAAAAATCAACAATCAGCACCACAAAATCAACAATCAGCACCACAAAATAAGTTGATTTTCGAAACGGTGTAAGGTTGATGACTAGGCATAAACCTCGAAATGGATTCGCTTAAATCGGAAACAAATTTAGCAACCCAGATAGCGAAAGAAAGCCATAAACAGAAGCAATCAAGCAATGGCGGGATATTAAAATCAATGGGCGGGATTTGGATATGTAAAACCCTACACGATGAGGTAAAAGTAAGAAAAGTAAAACACAAAAAGAGAAACAGTAGAAGAGGAAGACGAGAAAAAGCTCGAATCGGAAAAAATGGGGGAAATGGAGGGAAAGGAACAGTACCAAGGAAGAAGCGAGTTAGAGAAGAACGACGCCACTGTTCATTAGGGCTCAAAATCTGTCTCACAAATGTTGCGGTTACGACGGAGACAGAGCTGATGATGATTCGACTCGACGGGATGAGTAAATAAACCTATCGTACAATTTCAATTTCTTCCAAGTCAAAAACTCACATTTGCTCGGCCCACTGTGACGTCTCTCTCGGCCCATCTTATAATTCCACGTCCAAAGCAACATATCTCAGGTAATTCTATATTCCAATAAATATTTTAAACAAATCAGATTATTTTGCAACAAAAAAAATCAGACAACGAATTCTTTTTTTAATTGGAAGGAAATGAAATGATACACCTCTCTGGAAGTTCACGAGGTCTTAAAGCAAGGAAGTAAAACATTTGCTTCTTCTTTTTTTTTATAAAATGCTTCTTGGAAAACAAATCCTAAACCTCAAATAACAACACAACATCATTGCCCTTTGTTTTGTTCATCTTCCCAACTTCACCAAAAAGCCTAAACTGAAATCGAATAAATTTTAACCGAAATCCTGCAGCTGAAACCACTACTGCTGCAATCTGCTCTGTGCGCCAGGCTTATTGTGTGCCGGTTTTTATGCGGTCTTTTTAACCAACTGTTAATCCGAAACCAAACTTGTAGTCCTTCTTCTTATGATCCAGCTGGATGGAGCAAAACAAAACCAGAGTTATAAAGGAGAATCAATACAGGAACAGAGGAAATCTAAATAGAAGATCATTCTGTACCTCTGCAGAAAGAAGAAAATTGAGTCCCATACTCAATCTTTCTTCAAGGAGAGCGGATGCAACACCGTTGGAATCGATCTTTCCCCGCACACGAGCCTGAAACAAATCCCAGATTATTACAACTATACGGATTTACACTGTTCTTTTGTTGCTTGTTTTCGATTCACTTACAATCCAGAAAAAAAATGGCAATGTTACTTACCTGTCTAAGAATATAGTCGTAACCCACACTAGCTGTTACATCTCTTGAAAAGTAGTTGTACATGAAGTCAGTGGCAAGTGAAACCTGTGTGTCATCATTGAATGTGTCATTATTTATCTCTCAACTCTATAAGGTTTTAAGATGCAATCATATGAGAACGGTACATCACCTTATCTGAAATCTTCTGAACATAGTTCATAACAACGGCACCCGTGCTAGCAACTTGTGCAGAAGCAACCTGTTCATCAAGAAAAGTTCTTAATATGATGGGTATAAAAACTGAAAGTGTTCAAAATTCTGATCTACTTTTTACAAACTGAGTTTTTGAACCTCACAAATTGTCTAATTAACCAAATGAGAAGAAGCACTACCATTTTATCCGTCTCGTATCTAGCAGCATAGCCTATTCCCGATTTTCGAGGCACACCAGCCCAGAAAACTTCACCACCCAAGGATAAATGGTTTGTAACACTCTGTACCAAAAAATTATGATAATTTCATGAATAGAAAAAACCGATACATACCATACTTAAAAGTTTAACTATTACTGATCAAAGAAAAGACTGCCCACGGATAAAAGACAAAATTTTAACTATGACCACAGAAACTAAGCATGACCATAATCACAGTCTAATAGAACGACTTAAGGTTCATCTCTCATCTATGTCACAGCTAGACGAAAAGGCAAACACTAGAAGATTTAAAAACTCAGAGATGGGTAGTAACCTTTCCCTGTCTATTTGACTACACATGGAAATCTACAAAGTTGCAGCTGTAGCAATGGACAAGTCCAACTTGTACTTTGCTACAGCTGCAACTTTAACAACTACTGATCAAAGAAAGACTCCCCACGGATAAAAGATAAAATTTTAATTATGACCACAGAAACTAAGCATGACCAATTGACCATAATCACAAAGTTCAATAGAACGACTTAAGGTTTGTCTCTCATCTATGTCACAGCTAGACGAATCAAAGCAAACTACAAGTACAAGGTTAAACACTCAGAGATGGGTATTAACCTTTCCCTGTCTATTTGACTACACATGGAGAAATCTACAAAGTTGCTGCAGTAGCACGGGACAAGTCCAACTTACCTGGATATAAGTTGCTCCAATTAGGGCACTCTGTCCAAGTTGAAGCTGAGCTCTGTAGTCTGATCCCTACATAAATGTGAGAAAAAAAAACAGTTAAAAAAACTCAATGAACCAAATACTGTATAAAAAGGTACATCACAAGGATAAGAAATCATTAAATACAGAGACTTTTCTTACCATGTAATCAAAGTTGAACATTGCTTGTGACTGATGTTGCTCATTTGTTATCTGGTAAAGAAAGTAAACAAAGATGACAAACATAATGTTATAGAGAGAATGAGTGTAATATCCAGCTACACCTAGAATAAATATATTGTCTAAAGTTGCGGTATTTACCTGAGCATTCGCCTTCACAACTAACTTCTCAGTTAAATCTGCTTTCACTCTCGCACTTAGTCTACCATCAGTCATTACCCTTCCGATGAGCAACAACTGCATATTTACTTTGCCATTTTCATATCTTTTTCATGACAATAAGAATATGAAAACAGCTGATTACCAAAAATATTACCTTTGGGTCATAATAATTGGCACCAAACTCATAATGGGCAGTTGGAATTTTGATAGTTTCAGATGACTGAGAGGGAATTTCGGTTGGCCCCATCATCACACTGTTTAAACATCACTATACATGCTTAGTGAAGAACAAAACATAAATGGATGGCACACCAATAATTAAAAACATAATCTACTACCTATGACTGAGAGAAAACTTCTGATTCAGCGCCCTGGTAAAGTCAAAGCGTAAACCCTCAAAATTGTCCGACCTTAAAGACACTGCAAAGCAAAATCAAAGCAGTTAAAAAACAAAGAAAAGCAAAATCTAAATGCTTCACCACACATACTAAAACCTGACATGAAAACAGTAAGAAACCATTAAAATAAGTATGAACAAGTTTAGGAGCAGCTATTAAGACATCAGGAACTTTATGTGGCCACAAGCCGTTGTCATCTTCTAGTTGTGTCTGAGAAATGAATTTTGACTAACTCTGACGCAGGCAAAATCAAAGAACAGAATCTAAAACCAGATCAATTGAACAATCTTAATCATATTATATCATTTCCACTGAATGTAAATCTCCTAAGACCACGAAATGATACATGGACAACAATCAGAAACGACTAAAGTACTCTACTTTACCCAATTCAAACAGAAGAGAGCTAAATCTCAAAAAGGACAATACAATGCACTCAAAGCCACACTCATTTGATCTCCAGATCAAGAAACCCACAAATTGAGATATCAAAGAATACAATTTAAGTAAAAATGGAAGCAAAAGAAAGAAGACGATTAAGAAACTAGATCGGAAAATGGATTTAGAAAATACTGAACTGAGAGCTTCACGGTGGAGTTCCTCATAGGGAACAGGACAAGGGAGGTTCGAATAATCGACTTTCTCATCGACTTTAATCTTTGCATCGACTTGTGCCGCCGTAAGAGGTGGGAAAATATCCGCCATCGCCGCCGCTACCGCTTTTGAATATCCTTTACGGCGACAAAATGGGAAGCAAATGGAAGAAGAGTAAGCGAAGTAAGGGTTTTCTTCAGCTTGGCAAGGGTTTTGTAATTGTACCACTTCTGGTTTTTTCCGGTTTGGTCTTAATCTCGAACCGTGTCGGGCCCCCCTCGTTCGCCGGTCTTGCACCTAAATTAATAATAGTTGTTTAGAAAATAAATAAATGCAATGAAAGTGGTTTATCATTTTCTTTGTTTCCTCCTTATGTTCATTTCCAATGAAGTAAGCTTTTTAATCGGTTATCACACTAGCCTCACAACAAATGAGAAGATAAGCTTTTCATTTGTGGCCTTGAATTGGCAAACAAATTCTCCTAACAAGAGATTTGGAAATATGATCTAGATTTATTTGTGTACTAAGATAATGACAGTCTTCCACCCTTTGATCGCCTTGTGTACGCTGTTTGCTGATTGGTTTAGAGGCTGCCACTAAAAGAGCACGAAAGGCAGCTTAGGCAGCTTAGGCAGCACAGCATAATGCAAAAAAAGATTAGGAGAACTCACAAACCAATATAATTGCAAAGATGACAATGACTAGAACCAAGAGACCCTTGAGGCCTTGACGATGTCTTTCTCCCATTAGCTAGTTTCTTTATCTTTGTTGAGATGGATAAGGGATTCTGATGACTTTTGTGGGTGAAACAATACTCTTAAAAGCGACTGAAAGGTTTAATAATATTTCACACATACCTACATACATGGATTCCTTTATTAATCTCTTACTAAACATTATCTCTGTGATTATTAAGGATGTAGAAGTTGTGAACATTCACAATCTTATTAGCGCACAAGACCCAAGTTCAAGATACCCCAAGAAACATCAGGCCAAGATTGATCCTGTGACTTCATGAGAAGCACCCTAACCCAAGCAATCCAACCTTCCCATGACATCCTCTTGTCCCAAGGACTTCCCCATTGCAAGAGCAGAAGAAGCCCTTTCTCTGCCTCTCTCTCTGCTTCATTGAATCTCTTCTTTCCCAAGTACACTTGACTCAACAACACATGTGGCTCTCCCACAAATGGGTTCTTCTCAATACACCCCAACAATCTCTCCTCTGCTCTCTCCAAGTACCCTTCTTTGCTTGTGTCACTGCTCACAACTTCCCAGTACATCTCCCTTGCTTCTATCTGCTCTTTGGCATCCAATACCTGGTCCATTACATATGTGGCTATCAAGACACTCTAAAAGCTTAACTCTGTCTTTGATAACAACTGAAACTCTTGAGACAACTGTTCTTTGATAATCAAGTTACCAACCAAGAAGAGTGAAAGCTACTAAATTAAAGAAGATACAATCCTAGACACAACAACAACGATGATCATGACATGAAACAGAACCAATTTAGCTAACTAAGAACAGCACTTCTAGTATCTGAATCATACCTTGGTGCAGAAGCTGAAAACTGGAGGCACAACGAGCTCTATGTCCTCATCTCTCTCCTTTCTCACTTCAAACCCAGAACCAAAAGCCCTTCTCCTCTCCTCCATCAAAATCTCCTCTTCTCTCACAATCAAACTATAAATCGCTCCCATCCTCGAATTCGAATTCAACCACAGTCCAGGTTTCCCATTCCCAGGCCACAACGCAGTCACGTTGTTCCCTCTAAACTCAAGTCTCCCATCATGATTACAGAACAGCTCATCTTGAAACCCAAAAAGCTGATCACTAAAATCCGCCATTGTCATGAACAAGAAAACACCAACAACTCTCCTCGAAACAACGATTTCTTCACCTGTCTTGATATGCTTCACAACAGCACCATTCTCAGGAACCAAACCATTAATCTTCTTCCTCCACTCTTCATCTCCATCAAAGACCCCTTTCTCCTTGGCGTTCCTCAACGAAACCTCAGAACAATCAAGATGCTCAACGAGCTCACAATCAGAGTACTTAAACAAAAGATCGTCGTGAATCAGAGTTTGTCTCGGTACAACGCAAAAGAGATGGATCAACGACTCAGCAGCTTCACCGACATGATCACGAACGACTTCACGGCCAGTGGAAGGATCGAAAATAGCTAAATTGACATAAGAATTGGAGTAAGCAGAGTGAAATAAACCACAGAGGCAGACAGATTCAGGAGCTTTCCATAGCTTGAGGATCTTGTAGATATCGATCAAGTGATCTAGGAAGCTTCCGTGTTTGTGCCAACACTCGCCGGCACCGACGCTTTTGAGGACGGCGATCAACGACGGAAGTTTGGGGTCGATCTTCTCGAGCTCTCCTCGGAGAAAGGGCCGGGCTGATTCAAGTACGGCGTCGTTTGGGGATGGAGATGATGATGAACCCATTTTGTCTATCACTCTCTTTCTTGTTGATGATGAATTGATGATCGCTTCTCCAGCATGGACCAAGGAGGATAAACCTTTTTTTTATTTAAAGGAAAAATAAAATAAAAAACATAACAAAAATGACTAAACAATGACTTCTAAAAAAAACCAGTGACCAGGTTAATATTTTATGATTGATTCGATGACCCAGCAACATTGATTTTGAGCCGTTGATTTGTTGTTCATCAACAAACAGAAGTTACAGAACAACAACTTCCCCACTTCTCTTTTAAGTGTTTTGTAATAAAAAGAGTTCATGTTGTAAACTTATTGTTTTTCCATATATTAATGAATGAAGTTCGTTACATATATATACATAATGAGAGGAGACAAATCCTCATTGGGTTAGTAAACCCTAAAGCCCAAAAGCCCACTAAGCATAAAATGGATCCTAAAAGGAGAATCTTCTAGAACATGGGCATGGGCCTTCTAGGACATGGACACGGGCCTTCTAGAATATGCATAAGGCCCACGGTTATGGAGTCCATCCAACATGTGGTTTATAACACTCCCCCTTGGATGACATAACCGGGTAGATGCCAAAAAATCTCAGCAATACGCTTGGGGGATGCTTATGAATAAGCACATTAATGTCTTATTAGGGGTGGGCATTCGGGTATGCGGGTCGGGTTCGGGTAAAATCCGATCGGGTACGGGTCTTTCGGGTAGAGGAGTTTAGGACCCAATAGAGTAAATCTAAAATATCGGTTCGGTTTCGGTTCGGGTCTAATCGGGTTCGGGTCGGTTCGGGTTTAGATTTTTAGAACCGCTAAATATCCGAAAAAATCGGGCACCCATCGGATTCGGATATTTTATACCAAATACCCAAAATTTTACCAAATACCCAAATTTTACCCGAAATTTTACTCTAATATCCAAATTTTATCCGCAATTTTACTCAAATATCCGAGTTTCACCCAAAAATTTATCCGAATAACCGGAATTTTGTCCAAATATTTAAAAAATTTACAATCATCTCGCGTATAAATATATTTAGTCTTAAATATATAAATATAAGTGCATTTAATTTTTGGTAATTACTCTCGGATATTTGGATATAAATGTATTTAGCTCAAATATTACATATATATAAAGTTTTTATATGTATAAGTATAAGTAATTTTGGGTAATCGGGTACCCGTTCGGGTATCGGGTTCGGATCGGGTTTTACCCTATACCCACGGGTACGACAATACAAGACCCAATAGGGTAAATAGCTAATACCCGTACCCGCCCCGAACCGGTTTTTTCGGGTCGGTTTCAGTTCGGGTACTCGGGTACGGTTTTTTTGCCCAGGCCTATGTCTTATCATGAAATTTCTAGTATTTATTAAACGGTAAAAAAAAAACATCTTAAGCTTAATTAACTGATAATTACAAATTAAAACTCGCAATTCTTTTTACCACATTCATGACTGCATATAGTAACTTTTTTTTAAAGTACTACTCTCTCAATTACTTAAAACAACAAATATGATCTGAAAGGTATCACACCAAAAGCCGAATGAAATGATTAAATAGCTTGAGACCAACAGGTATTCATTTATTGTTGCGATACTGTCCCATTTTTAACGATGTTTGATTATTTTAGAATTAATGTCATCTTCACAACAACAGAAAATAGAGGAAACAGTGCAAGTGAACAATGAAAAAAAAAACATTACAGAAGAAAGATTGGGGGGAAAAGAAAGAAAGCAGAGAATCATGAGTAGAGATACTCAAAATGACTAAAACTATTACCAAAAGTGTTTTTGACTTATAACTTTCACAAGGAAAACGTAACCTAAAGGACAAAAATAATGATAGTAAGTGAAACCCATCAGTAGATAATATATATAATTATATATTAACCTTTTCAACACTGAACATATTGCCAATGGCAGCAATGGCTTCATCATCACAGCAAATATAATAGTGTGATTCTTCATAGGAAATACGGAACTCCAGTCCTTGGCCCTCTCATTTGATTGTTCTCTTCTGTCTCTGTGAAGAACTTCACTTCCCTTTCCTGGTAATACAAACATTTCAATCGATTTCATCACTAACCCATGCAGGATCCTAATAGCACAAAGAGCTTGAATCTATGGTCAATGAAAATCCACTACAAATGCAGAAACATAATCTATGGCTAACACAGATATTCAAACCTCTCATTGCACATGGCTTACTTTATCTAAATTCTCTAAATTACTTTCTATAATCTTCCTAGATCCATTACGTCAAACAGCACATAGCAAATCAACAAGTGTGTACATGTTTTGATAGAGAGCAAAATCTTAAAAGAAATTATTAAAATCACTGAAGGAATAGAATCTCTTCTTGTTGACAGAGAAGATTAGGGTAATCATTTAGGAAACACTAAGAGATGGCTCACCATGTTGTCATTGAAACTCAATATAGATGCGACATTCCCACAGCGGTAACAGTAATTAGGTGCAGACCATACCTTCACAAACAAAACAAAATTAACAATCACTAAGCAGAGTTTCAAAACGCCCATTATAATAAAATTATCAATTCATTAGAAGCAGGACACTCACAGTTACAAGGCCTTTATCTTGGAACATGTACTTAAGACCTTCTTGTACAAGCTGGTGCGCGCGGCATACTAGATCAAGCTTGTTGATATGGTTAAACTGCACAAGAAGCCAAAACCAAAGATCAGAGATGCGAAATTAATTTCTGAGTTACAGTATCAATTCCAGCTTTTGAGAAAGAAAACATACCTCAGTGGTAACCCTGGATCCGAAAAGCCAACCAGCTCCACGTGGACTAACCGCCCATGTTTCAATATCTTCAGGATCGCTCCACATAAGATCGCAAAAGGGCCCTTCATGAGGAATTTCGCAATTTCGCTCGATCAGTCTTATCTAAAGCCCACAGTCAATCTATGTGAGTGGAGGACCTTAATAACATGCCAAGCTAGAAGCATACTTGACAGGGTGAAAACCACAAGCAATAAAAGCAGAGTTTAACCTGATCAATTTTCCGAACATCCGGGGAAAGGCCCCCGTGAACACATAGAACCTAGACAAAGTAAATACTATTTTAGTATAAAATACAGCTATATTTGTTCTCATCAACAATGCCAAGTTGCTAAAGAAATTACTTACTGTGCCATCTATAATAGCTGACAGGGTAAGATAGTCAAAAACATCTGTGCAATATCGCCACGCATTAGCGTTACCATACTTCCTCTGGCATTCGTCATAGAAACCATACACCTTCAAAAACATTAAATCAAATGGTTCTGTGTTACAAAGGAATTTCCAAAGTTGAGAATCCATGTAAAAATTTGATCATCTTGTCCGCAGACTCAAGTAATACGTAGTTGAATTGCATTAAAAGGTATAATTGCAGACTAGGTCTTAGTAAAGGTTTGCCAGGAGTGCGTTAAATACAAAACTATCACTACACTTTCTTCCTTAAAAGCCTATGTATCAACTAGAGCGCTAAGGATAACACACATGCTAAAATGGAGACTGGTACTATATGAAGCACCTTCTGAAATTAGCTTTCCAATACTCGATTCACATAAAATGCATCTTAGCTAACATCGATGTCTACATCTGACATGTACAAAATCAGAACTTTCAAAAACCTACTATAACAACGAGAAGATAATCAACATAGCTTACCTCCTAAGAACAGCGTGAAAAGCACAATAATAGATATAAGTGGAACAGAATAACACATACCTGCGTTAGCTGCCTACTTTCATGATTTCCACGCAAAAGTGTAATATTGGCTGGATATCTACATATTAGAATATTAAAAAAAAACACTTCATTACCAGAACAAAAAAGCTAGAAATATAAATTCCCCACCATCTTCGAGAAGAACAATGGATTCTACACCTTAAGTATCATTCTCAAGACAGCTAATATATACAGAGTGAACGAGCATAGAAATCGTTTAGTAGCTTTCCAAAATTTAAGAACAAAGAAACATGAGATGCTTGAGAAACAATCTCATTCTCGTTTGGACTAATTTTGAATGCAATACGTTACTGGGACTATTTCTTACAAAGAAAGATAAATAATTGTCAAGATAAATTGCTTAATAAACAATAAGTTCATATTAAGCACGAACAAAAGAATCTTAAAGGCAAGATTCAATGATGACAGGAATCTCCAGAACATTTATGAACAACTTACCTAGCTTTAAGAAGTAAAAGAATAGTGAAGACTTCAAGGCTGTTGTAACCTCTATCCACAAAGTCCCCCTGCGAATTTCCCACAGCCGATTATGATGTATTCATAATTTCATATCAATAAGTCATACAAGACACCACATAAAAAAAAAACTCTGTACCATAAAAATGTAATTGGTGTCGGGAACATGACCTCCAGTCTGAAAAAGCTTCATAAGATCATGAAACTGGCCATGGATATCACCACACACGGTGACAGGACTGTTTACAGGCTGTACGTTAGACTCCTCAATCAGAAGCTCTTTCACCTGTATAACATTATAAACATCTTCTTGTTAACCATGAAATGGTATCTAAACTACAAAATTGATACAGCCATAGTTGAAAAGAAAGAAAACCCCTAAAATCACTATACAGCCATAGGGTAGACACCAAATTCGAAGTCATGTTCCACCAAGATACATACACATAAAACCAAGAAGAGAACATCACAAGAAGCTCCTAAACCTCAATCGACCCAGAGAAGAAATCATTTATTCAGAGTAGAAATCAAGTAAGAAGAAGAAGAAGAAGAAGAAGGCGTACGTATTCGCAGAGAAGCTGAAGCTCGTCTTCGGAGAGATGCTGACCATCTTTAACCTTGGAAATCCATTGATCCAAATCCATAACCCTATCTATATACCTCTGACTGGTAAAAAACTAAACCTCTTTCGTTCGATTTCAATAGCGACTTTTCTGGGAAAAAAGAAGAATCGAATCGAATCAAGATAGATCTACCAGAGAATCTTCGACTTCGTTAGGGTTACGTAAGCGGAGGAGATGAAAGAGAGAATAATGAGAGGTTCGAGTTCCACAAAATGACATACGGCAAAAGAAAAAATGAAAAAAGATCTCGACCCAAATCCCAGATCGATCTCTGCCGCTTCAAACGCAAATCACACTTTTGCGTTTGTCAAACGCAATCGTTGACGAACTAGCGTCTATTGGTAAAAGTCCCTCATAATTGTGAAAATTACGAAAAGTGCCAAATACTTTATGATTGGGGTCTTAACAACCCTCTCTGAACATATAACAAAGGACCCAAATTTCCAATACAAAGGACAAGAACCGTCACTTTCTTGAATCTTCTCATTCTCCTAAATGTACAATATCCAACAATATACAAAGGAATGAATTTGAATCTATAGACCTATCCAAACCAAAAAGAATCATCAATCAGTAACTTTTTTCTTTTTTTTTTGTATAGAGTTAAAAATGACCCCAAAAAAGGTTAGCGACAACAACATTTGTGGAAGTCGCTATGAAGAACGGTTGCAGCAAGAAAGGACAAAGTTGTCCATGAAATGGTTGAGCTCAGCTGTATACAGTTCTGGGTTACTCCGGAAATGGTCTACATGAGGTGAAGATATGAAGTTGCAAGCACGGACCTCGTGTCCAGCTTTCCTCTGTTCTACAATGAATGATTCAACTTGTTCTGCGGGTATAACTCTATCTGCAGAGCTGTATATGTATAGCTGTGGACATCTTGGTTGTGCTGATGATAAAGTGTCTAGAACATCGGCAAGTCTCCTGTAATGATATGATAACACAAGTTTGTTAAAGTGAAATCATGGGATTTGGGTTTAGGAATGTTTGACGAAAGGAAGGTTTATTTGTTTTGAGAGCTTACCTGTTTACTTTCGGAAGATTTAGAATCACCGCGAAGAACTTTTCAAGAACCAAAAGCAGAGCTGTTTCTGTTGCACCGGGTTTAGGCTGGGAGAAGTTTATACCGTTATTTCTTGCTCCTATGTTTGACTCATTTGACGAGCTCGCAGATCCTTTAGTGGCTACGCTGTTTTTCTTCAAGAACGCTGCTGAGAAACCTGATGCCCATACCTGTTTTTACAAGCCAAATTAGTACCCAGAAAGTTCAAAAGAATAGAAATCTATGAAAAGAATATCCCCGTCAGTGTCATATAAATCAGAGATCCAAGCCTAATGCTTTAGCACAAGTCAAGTTCCTTAACAAATCTTCTTTGACGGCTAAATGACCGTATAAAAATAGCTATGAATGCAAGAAGCATCGCTTACCGTAGGATCTGCATCAGCAACAGGAGCTGAGTCCACTATGCAACCTTTAACCCTTCCCATCAATGATGAATCTTGCTTCTGAAACTTTTCCAAAATAGCTCCATATCTGCATTTGCACAAAAATGGGAAATTCGCTGAGTGAAATGTGAAACCACATTACGTAAACACATGAAAAAAACGGAGATATAGAACTCACGTTAACCACCCGGTGTTGCTGAAGGTGTGAAAGACCAGATTTTTCTTTTGCTCTTCATCCAACCAATCAGCCAAGTGATTAACCAATGACTCGATGTTCTTCTCTGCTTTTCCTCCAACTTGATAACTCATAATTTCATTCATGGGAAGAGTAAATGTAATGACATGATAACCCCTAGAAGTGTACCAATCAGCATATTTCTTCAGATGCTTCTGCTTTGATCCAAGCCATCCAAGCAAAACCACAACAGTTCTATTCTTCTCAGACACACAACTCGAGGAACCAGACAAATCGATTGCATTGGGCTCAGGTAAATGCCATCTGTAGGAAATATCAGGAACCACAAGCGAGGCCCTGATTGTGAATGCCGATGGTTTTGATGCTTTAGCCAATTCAGCAGACTGATAAACACAACGAAGAGCGGACAGAGAAGTAACAGAAGTAGCGAGACTACAGCTCGGATTAGAAGCTAAGAGATCAACACTTGGTACAGGAACACGAATCCTCGACACAAAAGATAAATCCGAGAGCTTGGAGGCCGAGACCTGAGAAACCCACAAGGACCTTTCGTCCTGAACTGAACCGGGCACCGAAGGAGCAATCTGCTCCGAATCAGAACCTCGAACTAGTGATCTGAGAGATGAGAACCTCTCAGAGACATCTGCAGACACAGAAGCGGCAATAACAGCAGCAGCAGCAACAAGTGGCCGCTGAAGGATCCCAGACAAAGAACCCATGATAACCACAATCTAATCCAATATACTCCAAATTTAGCATACCAATCTCATTAATAGAAAAAGAGTCCTGTTATATAAGAAGAGATAGATTTGTAACAAGTCAAACACACACACACACATGTTTAAAACGCGTGTAAGACTCCAAGAATGTAGGGACAATCTGTAAATTACCTGGCAGCTTCTAACTCGGGCTGTCAAAACTTGACAGCCCGACCTCAATGGACTAATAACTTGTCAGAATAAAATCTCTCTTTCTCTCCCACCAAAAAAGCTTCTCTGCAAGAAATCGTTTCAAATCAAACATCATGTAGACCTCACCTATGAAGAGCTAAATACTAAAAGAAAAGACTTCTTATGATGTTGACACAAAGGAGAAAAGAAAAAAACTTTTCTCTTCTCTTGTATTTTTTTTCTCTAAAATCATGAAGATCTCACCTCAAACAATGGAAAAAAGATGATTTTTAGATGGAATTAATTGAGAAAAAAACGATGAACAATGAAAACATTGACACCAAATTGTTGTTATTAGTTGCCCAAAGAATTTGCAAAGGACCCACCACGAGAATTCTCCCACAAAATTAAGAAAAGCTTCTTAATGAATCGCATAGATCTCTCCCGAAAAGAAATGCAACACGACGTGGCGATGGCGACCTTCCCATTCTACGGGAGAGGAGGCATCCAATAAGACAATGATTAACCGACCGAAACCAAAAACTCATTTTTAAAAAAACCTCAGAAAAAAAACTGGGTGTGATAAATAATCGAATTCTAGAAGAGTAATCAATGTGGAATTGAGAGAAAATATGAATCGGAGAAAGGAGAGAAGAAAAACTCACCAGACAGAGAGAGACGGGAAGAGGGAAAAGAGAGATGAAATTTTGGTTTAGGGTAAGAAAAGAATTCTAATGTATGACCCCAAAAAAAAAAAACAGAATTGATAATGTTTATATATGTACTGCCTTCAAATAAAGAACTAGACAAAGCCAAAACCTTTTGAGTTTTGAGTATGGGTTCAAATTGTGACAACTTATATGCGGACAAACAAAAGAAAAGAAAACTTTTTTTCTTTTGCTGTCATAAGGACATTTTTTTCTTATCTTGATTTATTTCTTGTGTATATTTAATGTTTTGTATAAACTTGTGACTGTTTTAGTATTTTTCATTTAGGGGATTTGATTTCTAAAGAATATGACATTTTTTGAAGAAGAAGAATTATGCACCAAATTAAATATTCCAACACCGTGTGTGATTCATACCACTTGGATGTGGAACATAAGACACTAGAGTTTCGAAAAAGAGAGTTTACGATACGAATTTTCTTGTGGCTGGAAAAAAACAGAACTCATGTGTGGACGGTGCAAAGAACTTTTGAACGTAAAAAAAAGAATATTCGACCCATTTGGAAATCCAATAAGATAATTAGTTATGACAGAATCTTGGTTTTACATTACGCCAAGTTGTCCCCACCACCATTTCCATTTTCTCCATGGTTTTCGGATTTGTAATAATGGTTTATTCCTAAACTGTCTTAATCCTCTCTAAAGTTACCTTCTTTATGATAAAACAAATCTATTTTCTTGATTCTTGAACTAAATTTCCAAATCGAATAGCCATTAGATTGCACAAAAGGAATCGAATTCTGATAGTATCATTATTCTAATACCCTGTTTAGATGTCAATTACTATTTTTCATTTGAGGACAAACATGGTTCTCAAAAATTGTTGAAGAAAATAGAATTTCGAAATTCTTCAAAATTAAAATCGCAACTCTTTTACCCCAAAATTTGACTAAATCTCTTAAGTTTTACATATCATGGCAAAATTATAACTCGCCAAATCGTGACTTTGGTTATATTTAAAGTTGGAAAAAAAAAACAAAATTTACATACTTAAATTAAGATTTGTTTTTGTTTTGTATAATCACATAATCCTTCATTGAGAGGCAAATACGAGGTTGTCTCAAGAACGTCATTAACTACTTAACCAGATAAAACCCGCCAAATCCTTAATTAGCAAACGACCTAAGTTTGCCTGTAAGAATAGTCTTCTTCTCCTTTATCAATACCTGGTGCTATTTCTTCTTCCCCACCACTTCCTCTTCACTTTCTCCATCGAACCGCTGCTCTCTTCGCTCCCGAGCTTGCTCAGTATCAGTTTCGTTTCCCGCAGTCTCCCTCCATAATCTTTTTTCCATGTCTCAAACATCTGTTTTAGCCTCCTCAGCTCTCTGTCTGGGTTCAAGTTTGCTTCCACCTGACCAGATTTCACTTCCACCAAGAACTTTGCATCATCACCAAACACTTGAGCTCTCTGCTCGAATTCTTCTGCTAACCGCCCTATCACGCTCAGCCCCGCGCTCATAGGCTGTAGTCTCGGCCCTCCTCCGTTGCTCGTTTGGCTCCTGAATTGATTACTGCTTGAATCCCAATCCGTTGCATCACTCGCATTGACAGATGCATCTGAGTTTCTCGCCGAGTCCTCAACCGCTAGGCTTTTCTTTGCTATGGAAAGACTGGATTGCAAAGACCTCATTTGCTTTTGCCAGATTTCTTCCATTGATTTCATCTTTGTCTCGTACTCTGACCACCGGTTCTCATACTGTTGAAGCCTCTGCTGAAGAATGTCGTTCTCTTCTTCTTTTTCACGCAGAGCAGCCTCCGCTTTAAGTACCCTGCGTTGAAGCTCGGAAAGTACTGATGCTTTCACTAGCACCTCACCTGACTCATTTGTCTGCACAGTTGTTAATACCGAAGCAAAAATAGTTCAGGTTAATGAGATGAAAGAAATAATTAGACACTGAGGAGATAGGAAGGTGAATATAATAACCCTTTTACCTTAGTGCCTCCAGATTTTAGCCATCCAATATCCCCTGAGCATCTTCTAACCAACCAACCACGAATTACTGCAAAAAGGTTAAAAGAATTCAGTATCAACGATGAAAATAAGCTTAAGATTCTTCTTAATGAGTAGATCAGCAACACCCAAGAAGTACAAAAATAAACCCTTTTACCTGATTGTATCAAAACCGATGCATCGGCTATGCCCTTATATTGTTTCCTAGCAATCTTGCTTTTAACTTGGCTTTGTATAGTAGCAGCAGCCCTATGCCTCCTTCGTAACTCAGCAAACTCTTTTCTTATCTTCTCTCCACGAACAACTGAAGAAAAAGAGGTGTGACGAGCCATATCTCAGCTTAAGCTCAAATATCTCCAATACAGTGAGATTAAGATGCAAAACCAGGGTAATGAATTGAGACAAAAGAGTTATACATGACTGGAGAATAGAAATTCCCATTTTAAGCTCCTTCAGGCGACAGCGTGCTTGGTATCCTCTAAAAGAACTTTGAACACGTAAAATGCCGTGGAGAGTACGGTTCCTTGTATCCTCAAGAACCCCAATCTGCAATGCACATCAGACTCTTATTCCTGCCCCTTATAAAAGAAAGTCTTTGACATCAGCCGACAAACTATTATACCTGGCCAGTTCTGAAAAACAGCTTTGTGTAGCCAACTTGATACATCTCCGGCAAGATATTAAACTGATGGAGAATTGCAACTGAAACACTTAGAGTATCTTTATCAGCAATGTTCTCCACCAGAAGAAAACCATACCTACAATATGATCAACTTGGTTAGAACTTAGGAAGAAAAGCTTGTAAGGTCCCTTGCATAACTACTAATGATGAATGGCATTGTCACCTTCGGGAAAATTTCTGATGAGACATTCTTGTAGGAAATCCAGACCGTGAAATTCGAACCACTTCTAGGACCCCACAACATCTTAGCTGCTGTAATACAAGCCCTTGCTCATACACCCCAGGAGACTGAATGTTATTTGGCTTGATACAGCGGATGAAATGTGGGGTAGTGTTTCCTAAACGTTGCATCAATTGGAAGAGTTGACTCTGGAAAAAAAATCAAGGTAAGATCATCCATAATCAAATATCATAGAGGATGAGATGTTTGCTTTTTTCTTCATAGCGTAAGCATGGAGGCAAAATTTGGTAATCTTGACACAAACCACAACAAGATTTAAAATCTGTATACTTCTCAATCACATCTATGCAGATTATGAGCTTTAAAGTAAAGCAGGTAGCCAAAACGAGGCAACATCAGGTTTGAGGTTAAGGCCAAAACACCCCACCTTAAATTTAGTAGCTACACTCAACCGCTGGGAATCAGCACCACCTGCTTTGTATAAAGGACCGACAACAGGTTTTTCAGATTGAATCAGCATGCTAGAAGCAAATGCTTGAGGAAGGAGGCAAGAACAAGAGGACAAAAGTTGAATAGAATCCGAATGCAACAAGTCTCTATTCTTCTCTAGAAAACCAGTTGTCTCGTATGTAACCTGATTCAGAGAAGCAATTAAAAAAGCAAAATGTCAAAAAGCATTCAAGACCGAGACTGGGTTCCTGTTTTCTTTCGAATAATGCACAACTGTGAAAGAGCCCACAGATCCCACTATAAAATGCCTTTTTTTTTTTCTGGAAATGCCCTGGAAATTGGTGTCACTGAGGTTTCAAGAGCTATTACCTCTCCTGCATAATGCACAACTGTGAAAAGCTTCCCTTTATCTCCTCTGAAACATGAATTAGAGTGTAGATGCTGTTTTAGCTTGTTTGCAAGTGTCAAATCTGTGCCATTCGGAAATGTTGATTCCTCATCCAAAAGAGAGAGCAGCCCTAATGGTTTCTGCACAGACAACAGAGGTAATTGCCTTAAAAAATGTTTCAGGCTATAAGTAAGCATTTCACCAAATAAACTACGGTTTTCTAGAGTGTAAAAAGTTGAACTCTATTATGTTCTTATTACGGTGTCCATCTTGCTTCCTAGTCTATTGTCTTCTTATTATATACCTTTTCAAAGAGACTAAGACAATCTTGGTTGTCCTCAAAATCAACCCTTGTCCAGTCAATGCCATCCTGGATATATTCCTGAAACAGTAGAAAGAACATTAATAACTAGGATTAGAGAAAGTTGAGCTTTTAGATTGTAGTTCTATGCGAATGCGCGACTTAGTAGATTTAATACATGTGCCCGTGTAGTTCATTCAGAAAGGGGCAACTTTACCTCTTGCTCCAGCTTGAATAGATGACGGTTAAAGTGTTGCTGCAATCTCTCATTTGCATAATTTATACAGAACTGCTCGAAGCTATTTTTCTGCAGAGGAATGAAGGTTGTTTAGCATATTGTAAAGCACATAAAACAGGAAATGGACACACAAAAGCGCATAGATATAGAGTTCTAATATTTGTCACTGTTTAGGGATGTCATTGCAAACTGAAGGTCTAATGATAGCTAGTAGCAATTGTAATTTTTTTTCTGGAGAAAGCATAGAGAGACAGAGCAGAAACATACATCAAATGATTCAAAGCCGTATATATCAAGAATACTGATAGATCTGCCGGTTCGCCTCTTTCCAACAGCAAGAGATTTGTTGATCTGTTCAACCAGCCAGTCAAACAGGCACGAGTAGATTGATTTTGCTAAAGCATCTCTTGCATCAATGGCCTGAAAGAAAATAAGAAAGAATTTCAGCAAAATGTAAAATGTAAAGAAAAATAAGGACAGGGCTAAAAGTGCAGTCATTGTCTACGGAGGGGTTAAAAGTCTGCTGTGAGACTTGATGCGAAACCAGATTCAAAGCATTGATTCCATATTAATGTGAAGCATGGATCCAAATAACAACACAAAATTCAAGAATGTAGACATAAACCAGAGAAGAAAAATTCCAACCTCTCATTTTACTAAGTTGCCTTTCTATATTGACTCTACACACCCCTACTTCAAGTCTAATTATACACAAAGAAAATGTAAGCA